GGTCCATACTGGTCCATACTGGTTTATACTGGTCCATACTGGTCCATACCGGTCCATACTGGTCCATACTGGTTTATACTGGTCCGTACTGGTCCATACTGGTCCGTACCGGTCCATACTGGTCCATACTGGTTTATACTGGTCCATACTGGTCCATACCGGTCCATACTGGTCCATACTGGTTTATACTGGTGTGTTTTCCAGGTGCTCAGCCGCTGTCTGTCTCACCTGTCCCACCTTGGCTCCCTGGGCTCCCTCCAGGCTCACCTGGACCGGGGGCGGGGCCTTTACCTGCTGGCCAAGGGCGGGGCCGTGCTGCTCAAGAGCAGGTCAGGGGGGGCGGGGCCTCGTTTGCATCTCATTTACATAGCCCCCGACCCCGCCCCTCCCGCCGCTAACCGGCTCGTTAATATTCATCAGGCTGGAGGAGCTGCGCATCCTATTGGACAGTTACCCCGCCCCCACCATCGAGGCGCACCGGCGAATCAGGTGAGAGGACACGCCCCCCTCATTAGCATAGCAAGACGGGCACACCCATCCTCATTTGCATAGCAATGAGGGCACGCCCATCTTCATTTGCATAGCAGTGAGGGCACACCCATCCTCATTTGCATAGCAATGAGGGCACGCCCATCCTCATTTGCATAGCAATGAGGGCATGCCCATCCTCATTTGCATAGAGTTGAGGGCACGCCCACCTTCATTAGCATAATGATGAGAGCATGCCCGTCCTCATTTGCATAGCGAGGAGGGCACACCATCCTCATTTGCATAGTGATGAGGGCACCCCCATCCTCATTTGCATAGTGAGGAGGGCACACCCACCCTCATTAGCATAGCGATGAGGACACACCCACCCTCATTAGCATAGCGAGGACACACCCATCCTCATTAGCAGAGTGAGAAGGGCACACCCACCCTCATTAGCATAATGAAGAGAGCATGCCCATCCTCATTTGCATAGCAATGAGGGCATGCCCATCCTCATTTGCATAGTGATAGGCACTCCCATCCTCATTAGCATAGCGGTGAGGGCACGCCCATCCTCATTTGCATAGCGAGGACACGCCCACCCTCTTTAGCAGAGCGAGAAGGGCACACCCACCCTCATTAGCATAATGATGAGGGCACACCCATCCTCATTTGCATAGCAATGAGGGCACGCCCATCCTCATTTGCATAGAGATGAGAGCACGCCCATCCTCATTTGCATAGCAGTGAGGGCCACCCCGCTAATTAGCATAAAGCGATGGTGGCCCTCATTAGCACGAAGAAAGTATTGGTGTCATTAGCATAGCCACGCCCCCTCATTTGCATAACACGGCCCTATAACTGCGACGCCTCATTTCCATGTCTCCCTCATTAGCATAACCGTGTCCTTAATTAGCATAATGCCACCTTCATCAGCATAGCCACACCCCTCATTAGCATATCGCTGCTCATCACACTCCTGGTGGCTCATTAGCATAACGACGCCCTCATTAGCATAAAAAGGATCGATTTGAATGGCCACACTCTCTCATTAGCATAACCCGCCCTCATAGCCGTAGCCACACCCCCTCATTAGCATAATGAACCGTCATCGCCACAGCCGCGCCCTCATTAGCATAACATGACTGATAGCCACGCCCCCTCGTTAGCATAGCAATGCTCTCATCACCGTAGCCACACCCCTAATTAGCATAACGAGTGCCTCATTAGCATAACCACTCCCCCAATTGCCGTAACCCCGCCTCGCCGGCGCGCCTCATTAGCATAACCCCGCCCCTTTTCCCTTTCCAGGGCGGGTCTCTCGGAGCGGCGCCGCGCGGCCGAGGCGCAGGCCGCCATCTTGGGGGCGGAGCTTGCGGCCCTGCGGGGGCTGGGCCCGGAATTCCGGGATCTGGCGCTGGAATTGGGGCGGATCCGGCGGGAATGCGACCGGAAGCGCTGGGCCCTGCGCCAGCTCCGCCCCCTGCCCCCGTGACGTCACCGCCGCTCATTAAAATACCGCCGGCACCGCCCACTTCCGGCTCCTCTTTCCTTATATGGGATGATTGACAGCTCCCAAAATTCCCGCCGAAATCCGCCTCGAGTGCCGGGAAATGATTGACAGGCGGAAAAGTGGGCGGGGCCTGGGGGGGTGAATGACCGCCTATTGGTCGGCGGGGTGGGGTTCTGGGGAAGGCCACGCCCCTGTGGGGGTGATTGACTGCCGGCTGAGCGCTGTGATTGGCTCAGCGGCGCTGGTGGGCGTGCTCAGCGCTCTCCGCCTTGATTGACAGCCGATCCCGCGCTCCTATTGGCTCGCGCTCCTGAGGGGGGTGTGGGTTTAATCTTCCCGCCGCCGCTTTGATTGACACCCAGCCCCACGCTCTCATTGGCTCCCCTTTCCGCGATTGACGCCTCTCCGCGCTCTCCCATTGGCTCGCGGCTCCTCCGCTTTGATTGACAGCTGCTCCTCGGCTCCCCATTGGCCCCGCGGGAGGCGGGCTCCGCGCGGATTGGCCGGCGCCTCACGGAGGGGGCGGGAGCAGAGGAGCAGCGATGGCGGCGGGTCCGGGAGCGGCGGGCGCCGCTCGGGTCTCCTCGGGCCGCGACCTGAGCTGCGTGCCGGAGGTGGCGGGAGCGCTGGGAGCCGTGGCCAGGCAGGGGTGAGAGCGGGAATTCCCGACATTCCCAAAAAAACCTCGGGAAAGGCCCCGAAAATCCTCCCCGGGATCCCCCGCGTGGCGCTGGGGAGGGAGCGGAGCTCCGGCGGGAATCGCGGGTCTCCCTCAGGGATTCCCAAAATTCCTCTCAGGGATCCCCAGATCTCCTCAGGGATCCCCAGATTCCTTCCAGGATTCCCAAATTCCCCTCAGGGATCCCCAGATTCCTTCCAGGATTCCCAAATTCCCCTCAGGCATCCCCAGATTCCTTCCAGGATTCCCAAATTCCCCTCAGGGATCCCCAGATTCCTTCCAGGATTCCCAAATTCCCCTCAGGGATCCCCAGATTCCTTCCAGGATTCCCACATTCCCCTCAGGGATCCCCAGATTCCCTCAGGGATCTCCAAATTCCCATCGGGATTCCCAAATTCCCCTCAGGAATCCCGAAATTCCCCTCGGGAACCGCAAATTTCCCTCAGGGATCCCCAGATCTCCTCAGGGATCCCCAAATTCTTTCCAGGATTCCCACATTTCCCTCAGGAATCCCCAAAATCTCCTCAGGAATCCTCAAATTCCCCTCAGGGATCCCCAAATTCCTTCCAGGATTCCCAAATCCCCTCAGGAATTCCCAAATTCCCCTCAGGGATCCCAAATTTCTCTCAGAGATCCCCAAAATTCCCCTCAGGAACCCCAAAATCTCCTCAGGGATCCCGAAATTCCTCCCAGAATTCCAAAATTCCCCTCAGGAATTCCCAAATTCCCTCAGGAATTCCCAAATTTCCTCAGGAATTCCCAAATTTCCTCAGGAATTCCCAAATTTCCTCAGGAATTCCCAAATTTCCCCTCAGGAATTCCCAAATTTCCCCTCAGGCATTCCCAAATTTCCTCAGGAATTCCCAAATTTCCTCAGGAATTCCCAAATTTCCCCTCAGGAATTCCCAAATTTCCCCTCAGGAATTCCCAAATTCCCTCAGGAATTCCCAAATTTCCTCAGGAATTCCCAAATTTCCCTTCCCAGTCCATCCCAGTACAAACCAGTACAAACCAGTAACCCCAGGTTCGATTTCATGCGCGTCCCAGTATAAACCAGTTCATCCCAGTCCATCCCAGTCCCCTCCCAGTCCCTCCCAGTTCAATCCCAGTCCATCCCAGTATAAACCAGTCCATCCCAGTCCATCCGTTCCCTCCCAGTATAAACCAGTTCCCTCCCAGTTCGATCCCAGTCCCTCCCAGTCCATCCCAGTATAAACCAGTCCAATCCCAGTTTGATCCCAGTCCCTTCC